CACGCGTGAGAGAGGTAAAGAGACAGGTTGCAGACGGAGACAGACAAGTGGGTCAGACGAGGACTGGTGGTAAAGGAGTCTGTTGTCATAATCGGTGGCAGAACTTCTGATGTGTAGAAGTCAAAGGTGTGCAGTGAACATCCACAGGTCATGTCTGACTTGTCAGAACTTCTGCAGATCTGGAATTTTAATTTTTTTTTTTTCAAAGTTGGGTTGATTTTCTATTTGTCTCATTTTTTTTTGGATTCACCGTAAACCCAGGGAAATCCCAGTAGATCAGAAGTTTTTTGTGTATTTTCAGAGCAAAGCACCATGATGCCCTGTGATTGGCTGATTAGATAGTGCCATTTAAGGTAATTGAACAGATGTACCAACTAAGACTACTGTGACAGTAAAAGCTGACAGCATATGGTAAACAGAAGTAAAATAAAACAGGTTAAATGTGTTGTTTCAGTATTGTCTTTTACATTTGAAATGTTATAAACTGCAGCCGTTATAAGTGACGCTGCCAGTGAAGCACTGCAGTGACAGCCAAAGTGCCAACCACTGGTTATTATTCACAGAAAAGCTCGTTCAGCTGCAGTGCACTAATGGAAAATTCACTCGTGTGTCGCACAGCCAGCAGATGGCACTGTTTTACAGACATTTCTAGACAACTCAGTTTTGACTGCGTGAGCCACGTTTGGTTTGTTTTCTAGGTGTAAATATTCAAGTAAAATCGCTCACCTTGGAGACTTGGGCACATCTACAGAGCGTTACCACATCTAAATATGAGAATATTCTAGAAAAAGAAGAGACGAAAGATCAGATGAAGGAGAGACGTTCAATGCAACATTTCTGTGTAACTCCTGAGTTAGGCTGAGAGCCACAGAGCTCCACAGACAGACACTGGGTATTTGAGTAGTGGGGCGGTCGCTGACAAAGGGCTGCACACAGCAGGCTACTGGGTCAGCTCAATCCATGAATCTGCCAATGAGTAATCTCTGGAATTCAAACAGACAAGGTCACAGACAGGAGCCACAGATAAATGTACTGAATATGAAACCATACATATATGAAACCCCTGAGCTCCCGATGGAGTGTGTGTGTGTGTGTGTGACTGCTCAGTGAAGAGCCTCGTGGGTGGGGGTATTTTATACAAACGTTGAGGTTTTCAGAGAATTGTCAGGATGCCAACACTCCAAGTGCAGCTGGGGTCTGAGTGTCCGTTTAACCCCAGGAAACAGGAGCTGCCCATTGTTTCCTTCGTATACATGTGGACAAAGGCTGTGTGTTTTGGATGTGCATTAGGCCGGGGCATGTTGGGACATGTCTGTGATCATCTATGCAGGGGTGTAGTGTCAGGGAGGACATGCATCAAGTGACAGGATTTACAAAACACTTCCTCTGACACGTCAACCCTGTAAACAACTGACTGACGTTCTACTAACTGGTTAGTGGCTGTGACCCTGACTATTGACTGACTGTCGGCCACAGTCACACTCTGACATGAACATAATGACACAGCAGGGGAGATACAGTATAAAGTATATACAATACATGTGTATATATGTATATATGTATATATACACACGTATACATAGCCATTAGTTTATGTTGACAACAAGCTTTTTGTTTGTAGTGATTTAAGCCTAAAAATATAGTCACCATTTTGTTTGAATAAATGATTTATTCATCCTCTTCCAACCCATCCTTTCTCCTGGTCACCACAACCAGCATTACTGTTCCTGGTAAACACTAGCTCTGTTTTGTTACCTGTCTAAAAATTCCAAGGAATAAGAACAGGAAAAAAAAAGTTTAAAAAGTTGATATTATTCCCATTATAGAGTGTCTTTTTTATTTGTTTTTACTTATGGGGAGGAAACCTTAGCTCCTGCAGAGCACCGGCAGATCAGAAAGGTCATCAACAGAACCAGATTGCTCTGTCAAACTTTCATGTTGTTCATAATAGGATTTTAACGGCACATAGTTCCATTTGTTGACAGAATGTACACCTGGCCGTTCAAGCATGGATAGATAAGGGAGACTTCTGCCTTCCTCATGAGTCTGGGACTGGTTGCTATAGAAACTCCAGTCAGACATGAATTTGGCTGCTGGTGGTGTTGGTGTTGAGACTGCTGAGTCAGTGTTTTCTGAGTAAGAGGACCCTGAACCACTCTGAACTCTTCCTCTCTCTCTCTCTCTCCGGGGGTTGTCAATCAGACGAGGTACAGTTCAGATATATATATATATATGTGTGTGTGTGTATACATGTGTACATGTATCACAGTACAGTTATTGTACATGCCCCCTGGCCTTGTTCACTCAGGCCCAGTCCTGTTTACACAGTAGTGGCTGAAAAACAAGTCAGGTCACAGGGATACAGTATACATAATCAGTGAGGCTAATGAGAACATTAGTAAATCAAATCAGGACGCCATTATTCCTGTTACACAACTGAGTTACTGCAGTACAATCCATACGGGTGAGGTCTTCAAAGGAGTCCAAACCTTTTTAGATGATGACATTCTTTAATAAATTAATACCTTGTTGTGATTCATAATGAGCCTTACAGTGGAATGCTGGGTAGTGTAGTGTCTCAAGGTACTGCAGTTTCCTCCCAAAGTCCAAAGTATGCCGATTAGGATGGATTAAGATTAAATAACAATTCCTAATTGACAATACTGCCCCCAAAGCAGTGGCCTGGTATTGCAACAAGACTAAGGGTTAATGAGGCTAACGCTCCTATTGATTGGTAATATTGATGGAACATTATACTGAACAGCTTATCGACACATTGTTTACTGCCTTTTTTGACATACCACAAAGTCAATGTTGTAAATGACTGCCTTTGTGCTCGACAGCAGGCTTTAAAATTTCCTGCAAAATATTCCTAACACTAGAAATGAAAATCTTTAGGGAACGTTAGTGATTTCCTCATCTGTCAGTTGTAGGGATATCTCACTAAGACAACAGAGGATGTTCAGTTCGGATACACCTCCTTCTCAACAGGAAATATATATTATATATTTTTGGAAGCCAAACCATCCACCCAGACGATGTCCCTGAGTGTGTTATGCTGAGAGATCGTAACAAAGTTATGGAAATGAAAGGACTGTGGCCAACCTACTTTCCACAGTTAATAAAGCAGATTTACTTCCATCACAATGAGTTCTCCTCACAGCTGTTGTGTAACTGTCTCTACATGACACATGTGACTGTGGGTCAGATGGTGGAGCCAACCAGCCAGAGACTGAGCGGCAGGAGAGTGGATGTTCATCCGTCCACCAGTCAAACTATGCTGGTGCTGATGGGTGGACTGGTGGTCTCTGTGGAGACACAACGGAGCCGCTCCACAGACCAGCACTGCAGAAATCCCCACCAGCTAACGCCGTCTATTTATAGCTACACACATACACAACATACAGTTTGTATAGGCCCAGGAGAGTTCACTGAAAACACACACACACACACACACACAAATAGGCACGCAAACAAATCAATATGGAGGATGAACTCTGCTGAGTGATGTCAGATTTATGTCCAGCTGCTCTGCAGGATATTGGTCTGTAGGTCATGACCTCATTTCTGGCCGGTGACCAACTTGTACACTACAAAACACACACAACACACACACAGTGACAAAACACAATATAGCTTACTGTATGTACACACACTCACACACTGTTCAAGGCTGTTGGAGCTAATGAGTAACCCTGACCCTTCTCCCAGGGCATGTTGGGTTTCCTTTGGTGTGTTTGCCCTTGTCTGTCTGTGTGTGTGTGTGTGTGTGTGTGTGGAGATCTTACCTAAGAAGAAGCTCTTTGGGGAGCTTCTTGTTGATGGGGGCTTCATCACTGTTGGAGAACACCTGCACGGACACATGATAGAGAAAGAAGTTCCAATAAGAAAGCGAGGAATCGTGAGAGTACAGGTCTACAAGTGCATTTATATATCTCATTGTGGTCACTGACGATGTGGTGTTTATTATGACATTTAACCGTAACACAGGTCGCAGGAGCAGCCACTCTACTAAACAAAAGTCTGACTTATAGTCCATGAAAAAGGTATCAAAGCAGAACCAGGGAGAGTTTCATATGGTTTATCTAAAAACCCCGAATCACTCTTTGCGCCTCATTAGCATGCTGTGCTAAAAAACAAGGCAGAGACATGTTTGTTGTTTCTACCTCAGCTTCTTACAATCTCATAATTCACTCCGCCTGTTGGCATGCTTATCGCAATTAGTCTACACACTGGATGTCTGGCCATCTGCTGAATGAGACACACACACAAAGACACACTCAGCAGCAGGTAACTGGAGTCAGACCTGTTTATGTGAAGAACAGAGGCAGAACATTCTAGTTCAGGTGGGCTGTGTTCAGCCATGAATTTAAATCATGGCAGCCGCCCACGTTCGCTGTGCCAGTGATACTCTTGTATCCTCAAACACTCTGGAGCCGTATCTAATGAGGAAGGGACTCCCTGCTGCCTCAAATGCAAACACTAACAGTGGAATGTGGAAATCACAAAGCACAGTTAAAGGGCAGAGGAGGAGAGAGGAGTTAGCGTCTGAGAACAACTCCACTCAGAGCCAGCTCCGTGACAGCTTTCTGAGAGATGACAGAAATAAAGGCAGAGCGAGAAAATGGGGAAACAGAGAACGACAGAGGCGAATGAACAAATGCTGCTGCAGCCAGGGGTTGAGGGAGAGGTGAGACAGGATGGTCAGTCAGTCGAAGTGAAAAATGGTTCGTCAAACTATTTCATTTTTAATGTCAGCTCACAGGGTGGAAGTGGAGTAATCCTGATTACAGATGATTGATCCAGATACATCTAAACTAAAGATTTAGTTCCTAGGAACCATTTACTGCTGGAACAGAAAGACCAATACCAGCAGGTAGACATTCAAGTGTCACACCTGTTTTTAATTCTGATGATGGGATTATTCTATGGAAAAATGTCAAGAAAAATTATTATATCTGTTGTGGGCGCTCCCAAAGTCAACTGTGAAAATGGAAAAAGAAACACGGACAAACATTTACGCTTAGGCACAGCGCCACCTGGATTAATTGAAGAGAACAGCTCTGACCCTCCTCAGATGACCATTACAGGTGAAGTTCTCATCACCCAAATCATTTCTCAATCAATCAACAGTTACATCAACCTGAAACCTCATGCATGTTTTTATTGTTAGTGAAAGTGATCTATCTTTGCGGGTGGGCGGTCAGAAAGGCCTCTGCAAGTGTGGGCAGTATTATTATGTGACTATAAGTCGATGAGAAAATGAAACAGCAGGTTGTCATCCGAGCAGAAAGACTGCAGCTCAATGTTGGTCTACATACAGATGTGTCCCTGGGAAGAAGAAAAACACTTAACCCCAGGTTGACCCTGGTGACTGTTGCACCAGTGATAAAAGCACACGCCATACAGATCACTGTTGATGATGACCTCACCACAGAATAAAGGTCAACTTCCTTCAACATCATGTGTAGTTGCTTCACGTCACAGTACGTGTCTATGTCCTACTTTCTATAGGTACTTGATGATGAAAGGTACCTGTGACAGTGTGTTCCATTAATCACGGTGATCATGACGCCTCAGTGCACTCCCTGGACAGTTATAATGAGGTTTTACTCCTAATCACTGCACAAAAATAATCAAAAGTTACTTTTCCTCTTCCATTTAACTACAGCACCTGACACTGTTGATGACCACGTTTAACTTCACCGCTGTGAGAGATGAGTCTGTGTCAGTGAAATGGGCTGCAGGACATGTTTAATGTTTGTCTGGGGGACGGTGTCTGTGGGATCGATGACTCGTGTGGTGTAGCCCAGGGAACTGTCTAGGTCCACGGCTACTTTTTTCACCATCATGGCTGTCATGAATCAATGGAATGAATGTTTAGGTTTAACTGCAAAAACAGGAGGAAATAATAGCACTTCTTTAGTTTTACTAGGACCAAAATCAAACCATTATACACATACAAAAGGAAAGTGGCTCAGAAAACCACGATGTAAAAGTCTGAAGGCTCTGCTGGGGACAAAATATTTAGCCCTTTAAAATCATTTGGGGATTTCTCAACAAAAACAAAACAAGAGTTTTCTTTATGATATTTATATTTTTTGTACTTTGCTTAAAGATATTGCTTTGCGAGAGTTGAGAGAAGCTGGCTTTCTGACAAATGCACTCAGATATCCCTGCTCTCTTTATTTTAAATCTCTCAAGCTTTTCCAAAACTGATTCTTCTTCCACTTCAGTTGGCTCCACTGACAAATCTCTTACAAACCAGGACAGCTTGGTTTCATCTCTTTGAACACAGGCAACACTGCATTGGAGCAAATCTTTAAAAGAGTGACAATTTCTGACAATTTCTGATTTACAGGGTGAAAATGTTGGAGGTGTAGAAGTCCCAAACCACGCACCTGACCACTGCTTACTTTAAGATGGATGTGTGTGTGAGTGCCCAGCCCAGGTGGTTATACAGTATATGACAGGAGTGATGTTAATTATTATGCAGCAGAGCTGGGAAAGCCCTGCTTTTATGTCAGGCGATGTCAACCCATGGCTTTTTCTTACATTGTTTTCATCTGGTTTCAGCTTTTAGAAACTTTTATTCTGTAGAACAATCCTCTGATTCTAGTTGTTTCTCTGTATGCCCCTTAATTTCTTTTGTATTTCCAATGTTCTTGTTTATAGAAATCCCACTCCAAACGTGGGGGAACCATTGTCAAGAGTGAGTGAGTAATCTGATCAGAATTGTTGAAGAGAATTTTAGGGAAACTGTCCAAAGACAAAGCCTACACTCCACTGACTCAGTATCTCTCACCAGCGGTGGCTTAGGATTTACAGCTAAATATAGACGTAATTCTAAACCACCTCTGTAACACATCACTGACCTTTGACTTCTCCCTCAACTGACACCTCGTTCCAATTTACACAGGCAGTGGTGAAACCTCCCAGAGATTTATGTAAGTGCAGAAAGAGGAACCGATGTGGTTTCAAACTGTTCAAAACTATTTTAATGGCATCTGGTACTGGGCCGGCTGGAGAGACACTGAAGGTTCGTCCCTAATGACTGGATATTTCAGATTCATCATCACATAACACCTCATTCATTTTCTAAGAATAATCGTTTATCACAAGAATTAAGAGATAAAAACACCACGTATGTGCCTTTACTTCTTTTTTTAGGATGACTGGGAACTCATTAGACTTTGAAAAACACCATAAATCTACTCATGTTCTCAAAACGTCTGGGTTTGTTTAATTAACTGTACAGAAGAAGCAAATCTCAACATTTGCAGAGTTAGAACCACAGCCCTATCAACAAAGCTGCTTAAAAATGTAGGTCACTGACAGCTAGAGTACGCTGCAATTTCTGCTGATACTGTTTATAAACAGCAATGAGTTCACCAGACTTACATGTAGTTTAGCACCGTGATCAATGAATGAATGTTTCTTTTTTACATTATTGTTTTGCTTTGGTCACAACTTTCACAGAAAATAAAAACAGAGCCAAAATAAAAAGAGATAAATCTAAGATTTTTACAACTTAACAATAACAAAGCAAACCGTAAAGTTTGTGTTACATTTTTTATCCCCAACAGGGTCTGTTTTAAATACATTTCAATTAAAAATGTCCAAAAAAAATGCACAAATGTCTGTTTTAACAATTTAACTGTATTTCAGTCATAATATTATAAGAATATTAAATGATGTGGAAAACATCAGGTGCATACCATACATATTTGTCCCTCACAGTTAGATCCACTGGAGTCTACTGAGGTCTACTGGAGTCTACTGAGGTCTACTGAGGTCTACTGAGGTCTACTGAGGTCTACTG